AAGGTTATGTTCTCCGAATTGTATGTGCTGGTACTATGTTAAGTACACATGGGTTATTCTAACTTCTGAACAGACTAATCCATTCATGCTTCACAAGCCACTTTTTGCCCTGTCAATTATTCGCTCATTATTCCTGACGGTTTTCTCATGATTGTATGTGTGCTAGTTACTTGCCCTACTTATCATGTGTCTACAACTTATTTGTATTCGACTATGAATATTGATTCATGCTTAGCTAAATCTATTTGACTCACTCATCTCCATTGCGCGTCACTTTATTTTTCTTTGCTTCCCGATCAACGATTGTACGAAATATACATATTCAGAAATTCATTCTCGTATTTGACTTATTTAATTCTGTTACTCACTGGCGCGATTCAAGTCGAGGATTATATTCGAGGATAGCCGGGATGTGTATTTCTACAGCAATCATTCCATCTAACTGGAGTCAGATACAGAACCACTAAACAACAACTTGCCACTTAACTACTAAGTGACGAAGTCCTGTTTTCCTGTTCCTCATAAATTAGACCAACCATACTTTGTCGCCCGCATGAAAATCAAGGTTGCCTGTTTCTGACATCAACCAGTTGCCTACCTTTTGTTTGTTTTAACACATCATCGTTTATAAAAAACATAGCCTATTTAGGCGCATTTATGAAAAGTTCAGGTTTTCGCTCCACAACGTACAAAAGGTACAGCCATAGACATTATGTTGGATGTCAATATGCATTGAAAAAATGATTATTGTCCAAATGTCGATTCCTCAACTGCTAACATCTAACTTGTGATCACTCAACATTTATCGCCCGGATAGATGAAGAAATAAGAAAAGGAAATTTGTTGTAATACTTTGTGCTAATAACTCTGTATTGTACCAAATATATCATGTTGAACAAAGTCATTCATAATAAAGATTTTAATTTTGACAGAAACACACATAAACAATTAATTAACTGATAATTTTAACGAATACATTTGTAAACAATTCGAAGGTCAACAACACTTACTGGGTCAGTAAAAACTCGTTTGAAATGTCCTCTTCCGATCTTTAAAGCGTAACAGTTTTGTGGTTTATTCATTCAGAATTTTTCGCTTATTATCAAAATAATCAACTGTTATTTCTAATGTCTGTTCTAACGTTGGGTTTTATTAGTCCAAAGTTTATTTAATTTATTTCATTTGTTTGTGAAGCTCATTGCTACTATTGCTATTCTTGCCAATAAACAGTTAATTTTATGAATGTGTCAACGCTGTGTTCCAATTAGGGAAGTCCTGTTTTTAATTATGTCATCTACAAAGGCTATACAATCGTACTTATAATTGTTTCACACGTTGTTTGTGATGTAAAAGGATAACGCTGCATCATCAACAAAGGTTTTACGATTTCCTGTTAGGAGCAACTTTCGATATAATTTTATTTCATGTGCTATCGAATGTCCCTTTCATTGAAGTTTAGATTCTAACATATCGCGTTGGGATCGGATATTAAATTGAATGTTATGTGAAGAACTCCCAAACTTTTTAGTACCTATTGAATTTACTTTTCTTTTTAGCCTATAATGAATTACCAATAGTTAAAGAACGGATACTCGAGACTTGTTCGCAACCAAATATCAGATCGAGGTCAACTTAGAACTGATTTTCGACTCACCAAAAGCCAAGATGAATAATTACTTCACTTATATAGTATGGCTTGTAATAGTAAGAAGTCTATGCAGAATAAATGGTAGGAATACAATATTAATAACTAATTGAAGCAATACAAGAAGCAGCTTATCTAACTAATTTTCAAAACACCTTTGACTGAATTCTTCTGTGCTTTATAACTAATGATTATTGACCAACTTAATAGAGTTGAAAGCCAGAAAATCGAATTAAAAAAATCTAAAAAATATGCAACCCAGAAAAACAAACCTCTGTTATTGAAGATTCTGTTTAGAAGACTGAATGAATTACTTAAGAAGGTATGAAAGACCGATTGTCCCTTCAGATAGATACTGTAATAGTTTATAAGAGCTGGTGTACCACATATAAAATATATCGACATGAAGTCAGCTGCATTACGTAAAATACCTCATCCTATAGTACTACATAAGCTGTTCATAAGGTATGAAAGACCATTTAGCTAAAACCAGGCTAACAGCTGTGTCTGTTAGTGTCGTAGCGTAAGATCACATTTGTCTTTTGTTGCAAAGCATTAGTTGTGAACCAAGTGGTGCTCAAACTTGTTAATTTTTTCCTATTTTATTGTCGATGAGATTATGAAAATGTGGGTTTGTGGTACCGAAGAATATCTCTGCGTCCCTTTTTAGGTAGATTGGAAGGAATCTGGGGGTGGCCAAATCGAAGCATAAAATCAGGACATGGGATTGTTAGTAAGCCCGTTGAATTTTTGATGACCTACCTGCTGTAATTTATTTAAACAATTAATCTACTATGCAAAAGTATGTATGAATCTGATTAAAAGCATCTCAATCTTTATACCCCATTGGTTGTTTACACAAGCAATAAATAACTTACCCACAACAACTAGTGTTCTAGCTTTTAAATATTGTCAAGTAAATTCATAATACTACTAAAAGAACCGGTCTACTTACATACTCAGTTGACGGGATTTCGTCTATTAGAGTTAAATATAGGCGAAATTAGCTTCTAAAGTGTCATTCACAAATGAACTGTTCTATGTAAATTGGTGTGGACTGCTTAGTTGGGATCCACGTGATCATCGTAACTAGTGGTTAGAAACTTGGACGTGGGTCGGAATTATTTGCTATGGTACAGGTGCACCCATGTTTTTCTTCCACCAGATTGCAAGCTCCTGAGTTCTTTTCATATTTTCTTGAATCGTATCTTCGACCCCTAACATTTCCTATTACCACTGATACTGTTATTAAATCTTAGTGAGCCACACCCGGTGCACTTGACCTGTAGGTCTGATCCACAGGGCAGTGGGGCAACGTCAGGAGATGCAGTCTCATGGTAGCCGGTGACGAACTATAGGTTCGTACGCCATTTGTTTCCTCATAATCCTGAAGCCCATGTGCACCATTGGTTTGGAGTCAGGGTTTTCCAACTTCCCCAGGTGGATCGATCCCCCTTATCTACCAACTCGGTTAAAGTGTCGTACATTCGCTTCTCGATTTAGCAAACTATACCACAGTCAGGACTCCACTGATAATGATCTTATGCACGTGGAGTCTGATCATTAGGTTTATCTAAAAGAAAGACATGTGATGTACAGGAGAATGTGCTTCATTTTAACTGCATAACAGTAAACAGACTAATCCAATGTATTTCTTTTTGAATATATTTCTTCCTGATATCATTCATTCGATTGAATACATACATATTGGCACCTGGTTTAGATTGTGAATGATTATCTGCAAGACCAGTTCATCAACTACTGCATGTCATGAACTGGGATACATCCTTTTTAGCCATTCATAAAAGATGCGCATGCGGATAATGCAGACCATTTAGTGTACAAAGTAATCATCAGTCGAACACTTAAATTTGTTAGACAAACTTACGTAGCCTACTTATTACACATATCCTTTCAATCTACTCCTACACTAACTCAATGTTTTGGAGGTTTTTCTACATCCAAATGTAAAATATTGCTCTAGGATTGGTTTGTAATAATGCCTACAATTACAATAAGAAACAAATTAGTCAGCCGATCAAATCTTATTAGCTCTGGCAGATTGGTGTTTAGGAAAATCCCGTCACCGATTTAGGGCTCGGATGGTCTTTCCCAACTCAAGTCACCAGTATTATAGGCGAGATGTGTCTCAAGCAAAGGATGAATTTACCAAGAAGCAGCCCGTGTTATTTCGCTACCTGAACATGAAATGCGGCCTTTGGAAAAAGGAAATCCGTAGGTCACTAGTATTTGGCAGCAGATGTTTCCGAAGCATTGTACGTGCGTGTACTATTTAAACATTAACCAGGTCAGGCACCAGGTAGAGATGGACAAGTCGGTTGACGAGGTAGCAAACCTCCATCTACTTCGATTATGGGGAAAGCTCAGCTACCGGCTGCACTGACGTGAGACATTCATCGCTACTAGATTAAATCAGATGAAAGCTATGGGACCAAACCAAGATGCAGGATTAATCCATGGATTTATTGATTGTTAACACGAGGTATATCGGAAAACCCAAAGTAACCAGTTGTTCGTGCGATCACCGCAACTATGGGGTTTCTAGAGAATGGCTTGGAATTGACTACAATGTGACAAATGAATTCACTAAGACCCTAAATTTTGTGATCCCTTGCTTTCTAGTCAGCTCTTGAATTATACTGTTTGTATCTAATCTTTTCTACTAAAACGGATGATTTTGTTAATCCAACCACTGCAGCATCCGGCCCTATCAGTTCGATGTGGTAACTTGAACCGATGAGCGTGTCCCGAGTCCTCCGTTGTTCATGACTGAATTGAAGGGGAACAAACTAAACTGAACAGTAGTGATGATAGGTCAACCGGTAAGGCTGTAAGCGTCACTAACTTACACAGCTGAACGGTTACCGACCCCGTTTGTCGCCGTTTATCTCGAATCACAGCACTAACGCAAAGGCATACTAGAGGAAAGATACTAAGCCAAAAAATATAAGTTCTTGACGTTATTAACTACTGCCTTTGACAGCGAGGTGTAAGTAAACGTCCTAGTCGGTCAGTCGTAAGCATCATATAACCTGGTACATGAGTGCATTGGTTAATTTTCAGTCACAGTCGTGTTCGATACCCAAGATCGTATCTGGGCTTAGTCATTTCACATTCATCATTGTTCTGAATTTATTCGTACCCACGGATCTACGGTTGATGAACATATGTGGATTTTCTTTACAATACAAACAAACACTATAGAACTGCATGGGGACATAAAAAAAACAACACATCTAAAGAATTTTATTCATATACCACAACAAAATTAGAGTTTGTTAAAAGAAGCTATATCAACTGACTGCACAAGTTCTTCAAACTTCGTTATTTCTTCTTCTAACATATCAGTCCCGACCTGAAAAAGACATCAGCAATATTCTAGTTTAGAGACTCAAGGATTCTGAGAGTAGAATTTTAATTTAACTTATTGATCAAATAAATGCTTTTGACAAACAACTGACTGAGATTGCATACCTTATCATCTTCAATAACACATGCAATTTGAAGTTTCTTAATTCCATAAGCCAAGGGGACAAGTTTGGATGAACCCCATAACAACCCATCGACTTCAATACTACGGACAGCTTTTTCCATCTCCGCCATATCAGTTTCGTCGCCCCATGGTTTTATATCAAAGACAACCATAGACTTCGCTGCAGGAATAACCTTTTTTGCTTTTTTCTCTTCGTAGGCAGCCTGGCGCTCACTTCTTAGTTTTTCATACTCTTCATCATTATCAGAGCCGAATAAATCGAACTCGTCACTTGCGGCAGGCGAGGCACATTTGGCTAAAAGAGAAGGAAGTGCAATCCAAACTCCTGAACTCTTGATTACCTGGTTGAGGATTAGCGGATTCCTGTGGAGCAGGAAACGATTTTCGTTCCGCACCAAAAGAGTCAATATGTTTGTACCAGCGTAGAATATTGCCAAAATTTGGTGACGGTGACTTCTCAAGGGCTATGAACGTTGAGACATCCGCTTGAGTAGGTTGGAACCTGCAAAAATATCACAAAATGGATTACGGAGCATGTTTGTTAATAATAATGTCGACACTAGTTAAACAGATCTGTCTGCACCACTTACCTGAGCAGCATGATTTTGAATGTATGCTACATTTCCTGAATATCACATGAGTTATTCGCAGAACTATTATACCAGGCAATAATCTAGAGTTCTCAACAGTTTTTTTTATTTGAAGACATAAATATTGGCACAAGAGGGTACCAAAAAAATATGCGCCACACCAGCACTGTCAAACTTATACAAGTAAACTGAGTCCAATTATTGAAAGTAAAATTTAGTGGACCAATATTCCAATTTGACTGATTGACAATAAAAACAGCTAGGTAAAAAACTGACACTGAAAAAAAATTCCGCTTGTCAAATTAGATCGAGTCTACAGCAACGTTTCCCGTGTGATGTTACTACATTATTTAATTGTTGGGAAAGACAACTAAATGATGCGCTACCACGAGTTGTCGCTGAAACTTGTAAAGTCATTATTATCATGGGACGAACTGAACCATAACCTTTATATTTTTGGTGGACATTAGGACAGGTTAGGATCTGAAACAAAACGAACGTTCTGCATAAGTAGTCTGGAGTGTTGTTGCTTTGAGGAAAGAATTAGTTTCGGCCACACTCAGAAATGACAAGCAATTTAAGAACGACTTCCAAGCAATACTAAAATATTTCTGAGCTTTCATCACTGATGCCGATATTGGGTTAGACATTGGTCTGAGGAACTCAGCTGGAATTCAGCATTAGGAATGAGTTTTCACGGATTGACATCACTCATAATCCCGGTTTTTTTTACATAGATGAACCCAAGGTTCGCAGTTTTAATTCAGACCGATTTGTTCATAAACGATGGTCAACACATGACGTTTAGGATGTATTCTGAATAGGAACCGGTCCATATTCAATACAAGGAAAGAGTAAATTCATGGCAAAATAGTGTACGGTGCATACATGTGATGGGAAAAAAATGCAAACTCAAGACTCAGACTTTACAGGAGTTTGATATAAAATGATATGTACGTACATCCATTAGACTAATTTATTGCACCACCGTACATGCGCAAAATTTATACTAACCCTGATATATAACTTCTGGTAAGCAGATAATCATCTAGCTTCTTCAGGGCCGAAGGAGTTTTCAAGTCACCAAAATCGATCATTTTTTAGCGTGTGAAATTTCGAACCTGGCGCTGGGAAGGACACTATTGGTAAAGAATAAAAACACAAGCTGATCAAACATTTTAGTAACTTTTGCCGTCAACGTCAGAAACTCCACTGTATTTAAAGATTTAAGGCGAATTGAAGCACACTAACTTGCATACTTACATATATTATTGCTCAAAGAGCAAAGGCTGATGACCTCGATTCTACAACCTACTCCTTCTAAGGCTCTCTTTCTTCAATGTTACTAAGTGCTATTCATTCCCCGAGTGTCGACTTCTGATTCACGAAGCAATGTGTGTTTTGGTCTGCCCTTTTTTCTTTTTATCTTGAGCATCTTAACCAAAGGCTTGCTTCGTTTTGCGGTCTGATGATTTCCGCAATTTCAGTTTCAGTTTGGAAAAGACAGGGAGCTAGATTGCCTGTGTTAGTCTTGGCAATGGCGGTCTCTCAGTTGATCCAACTTTATTTTGAAGGGGTTGACGGACGGAGCCTCAACCACGTGCTGAGGTAATGAATTCCACTCGTTGATGATTCGATGAGAAAGTCGATTATCAGCTGACAAGTAATTTGTTCTGGGCTTGTCAACCTTTTTGGAGTGCCCTCGTAAATTCCCTGTTTTGGAAGACAAAAAAAATGAGGGCATACTAGGCGCAAATTTATCACTAAGCAATTTAAAAACTGTAATCAAGTCGCATCTAGTTCTACGATATGACAAAGGGAATAGGTTTAGCTTGGCCAGTCGATCATCATATGGAAGCTTCGCTATTCCGGGAATTAGCCTTTTCCAAAAGTTCACTGTCTTTTTTCAAGCAGGGGCTAGCCGCTTGTATGCATTACTCAAGTTTAGGACGTACGAGCACTATGTACAAAGTCAAAAACTTTTTAGCGTCGATATGAGTAAAAGCCCTACGTATCGACCATAAAGTTCCAAAACCTTTGGCGGCTATTGCACGGCAGTGTGCAGTAGTCTTTAAGTCTTGGCTCCTATTTCTTTGTGTGTATGGACAACAGGTAGCTCAGTGTTATTCACGATGTATGTATATGTACCTTGATGACCGATAAACATCACAATACACGTGGAAGTATTTATCGGCAGCTGCAAGGCTTGAGACCATTCAGATAATTTCTTCAGGTCATTTTGGGGTTCTAAGCTATCACCTTTGCTTTGTATCGCTTTCCATATCCTGATATCAGCAGCATATAGCAAGACCGGTGATGACATTGGATGAGGAAGGCCATTCACATACAAGATGAGTAATACTGGCACCAAAACTTTACCCTGAGACACCCCACTCAGCACAGTTACCCAGCTGGATAACTTTGGGTTCACCTGTACTCTTTGTTGGTGCCCAACTAGGAAGTCTTATATCCACATCAATAGATTGCCTCCAATTCCGACATTTCTTAGCTTATATAACAGCCGGTTGTGCGGAACTTTGTCAAAAGCTTTGCTGAAATCAATGTAGGCTACGTCTACAGGTAACTTTTGGTCCTTAAGAGTGCACCAGCTTTCACGAGCGACTAATAAGTTAGTGAGACAAGAATAACCTATTCGAAAACCTTTCTGCTTTTCCGAAAGCATCCGGCCTACATCGAGGTACATAAACAGCTCCTTCCGAATAATCTTTTCTAAGATTTTAACAACCATACTAGTTGGGCTAACTGGTCGGTAGTTCTCATGTTTATGTTTCGTACCTGTTTTGAAGACAGGACTTATTATGGCGTTCTTCCAGTCTTTTGGTAAATGACCCTGCGTTACGGATAGCTTAAAGCATATACTTAAAAGGGGTTCGCAACGAAGTTAGATAATTCCTTTGGTAGCCTAGGATGCAATTCATCGGGCCCCGTGGATTCACCTGTATCAAGAATATTTAGCAGACCAAAGACAGAGTTCTTTAGTGGTAACACTGTCCAGCGGTTGTGCGAGGGGGTTTGTATGCGCTGACGGAAAGGGTGTTTCTATGGTATATACATTGCTAAAGTAGTTCGAGAACACTTCAGCCTTACCAAAGTCATCTTCCACTAATGATGCGGCAGTACTGTCTCCCCACAGTGCAGGAATATTTCCTCTTCTTTTTGTCCTTTGGTTTATATAGGAATACAAGCGTTTGAGACATTCTATGGATTTTTTAACAATTTTTTCTTCTTACAACTTTCTGGACTTACGGAGGGTCGAGGCACAGGTATTCCGAGCTTTTCGATACTCAGATTTTGTCTCGTCAGTTCTCAGTAACCTAAATCTATCCCACACTATTCTTCTCTTATTAAGAAGGATGTGGACCTCCCTACTGAACCACGATGGGGAGTTTCTCGGCCCCCTTGGTGTAGTCCACGGGATGTGGGGTGCGGTAACGTTTAAGTATAAATTTCGGAATACGTCCCAAGCCGTTCCAATTGAGGAATCTTTGTTTATTGTCCAATCTACTGACGATGCTGAGTGCATGATATATTGTATGTTCGCTTTCCTATCCACCAACAACATATTTCCCAAATTTCCTTTTCAACTGAAGCCCGGTTTATTATATAACATGGTAAGTTGTTTCTCTTTGTACTTGGTCATCCGAACTGGAGTCCCTTGTGTATGCCGTCACGAAAACCGTTCTGAAGGTGGCTTTAGTAGTTCTCCAAGTTTCAGCCTCGTACAATGGAACTGTCCCGATGTTTGTACTTCAGATTTTGACTATGATGTCTGCTGGTAGTATTTTTTAGTCCGTAACAGGTCTCTCAGTGACTTATATTTAAGATATGAAACCCAATATCAATTTAGATCATGAACCACTCGAGATTTAATGTCAGCTGTACGAACTTTTTAAGGCAGAGAAATAAGTTAAACCTGGAAAGTGATGAAATACGAATATTCACTTTTCACACTTAGTGATATGAGAGATCTAAGAACGCCTTAAACAGAAACAATTTTCTACCTACTGATCACACTAAATGGTCTAGAAAAAGTGACTAGCAGCGGTCAGCAAAACTTTACTTGATAAGTTGAGGAAGTTCTGGTTATATGGCAACAAAGTATTTGGGAGCAAGTCCAAGCTATCCCTGAAGAACTTGGTGAAGACTCCTTAATGGATAGCTTCAGACATGCCTTATAAATGATTCCTAGGTGCTTTCATACGTGTTGTTTGTTATCGTGGTATTTGTGGGAGATGTTAAAGATAAGTAGTGGGGCTTGTGTATATTTGTAAACTCTAGTTTTTTCAGCAAAAACATTTTTCTGTGGCAAGCAACTGTGCTAAATGGTATGCACTATATTATATGATGGATCTATCAGAAAGAAATTTTCGTGACGAACATCATCTGAAATCTACTTCTGCCGTAGAAATTTGTTCTTCTAAAGATCCTTTAAGAGGTTATAGTTGAATTGCGTTGCTTTCAGTTTTCTAAATACGATTTCATCACTTTGCTAGACCTTCAAATTAATTACAAGACCGACGGGTGACATAGCGTCTTAGACGTATAAATTGTGTTTAACATTGTTAATTTGTTACGGCCTGGCACTGCACTTGCAACCGAACATTTTCTTGCCTCAACATACCGTTCTGAGGACATCAGTGCATTCGGTATGTGTACCTATAAAACTTTGCAGTAAAATTTGTTAGAACAGACTTGAAAATCTTGTCTTCATATACTTAAATAGTGTCGCATTATTGAATCAGTGTTATCAAAATATCTTACCTAGCAGTACAATAAAAGGCGTGCTCCTATTCTGGTTATCATTAAGAGGTTGATGACTGAGATTTTGAGATAAATTGTAAATGATTCAGGAATCAAAATCTCTGAATTATTAATGTTTTTCTCACCAGAAAACTCGCAAGAACACAGAATGTTCACGTACTGTGTGCCATCTGCTGGCTTATTGTCATAGAATTGTATATAGGTTAATGGGACCCGATTCTGAATAATGCAGATAGGTTCTATTCTCATGGATGCAAGGTGGTAATGAGGACAAGGTGAGGAACTGATGACACCTAATGACCACGACTGCCAGTATATGAGTACCATCATTATTGACGTTCGATATGTATATGATCAAGTTTTTGGTTGAGATCATGAACCGGTTGGTGTTAGACCACCGTTGGAAACATGCGAGTGGGATCGTGGACGCGCACTGTCGACAAGTTTCGCAATAGGACGAAACGGCCGTCCAGTGCTTCCAGGTTTCTGTTTATGATCTCAATCAAAATCTTGATAATCTCCACAACCCCTATACTGATAATATATAACTTATCGTTAAATTTTCAGACCATTGAGTTTCATTATTGTCTTCCATAGAGGCAGTGTTAACAGCCTTTAAGGTACGAGTAAACCATTTCCGAGATGATGCTCTCCAATGTTCACATTTCAATTTTCATGTCCAAAATTTTAGTTGGTTTAGCTGTAGTTTGGAGTAATTCATGTGCTAGATTAATGAATTATGTGAAATGATGCACCCTACTAATCAACACTTTTAACTGAAAAGTTTTATTCATTAAGGAAACTAAATCTATTGTCTTTCAGTAAAATATTATAATCCAATTATAGTACGCCAATCTTTAGTGATTATTGATATTATTACTGATTTATTGCGGCGGACTTGGTGTTTTGATTAATTTCGCATCACGTGAGGAGCTTAGTACTTAAACTCTTTGAAAATCATTTAAAACGGAATATAACTCATAAGACAGCCTGCAATTCTCCTTTGAGACAATCACATGGATTAAACCTTTAAGTCAAGGTGCTTATAAACTATGTGAGGTCTTATGAAGAAGTTTGGCCTATCTTAGGCAGTTATTGTTTATGTCTTATCCAAACTAATTTGAATTACTATGCGGATGACGGACTGTTTATCAGATTTTATTATTAGGAGATATGCAAACGAGTGTAACTACAAATAAAATAATCAGAACATGGCTATCACTACCACCCCCAAGGTACAATACCTGCATGTCACGTAAGTTAGCTTGATGCATGAGTGACTAAATCCTAAGATAGGGTTCATAGAACATTTCGTCGACCACAGACGGATTACACCACACACTTACATTACAAACCCATGGTG